CCGGAAAAATTTTGTTGCCGCACAGGCCTGGTGTAAATGGGGCAATCAAGTGAAATTAGAAATAATAAGGATGGGATCAGGACATGAGAACGAGAAAAGATGTGGATTGGAAAAAAAACACAACACGATTTCAAAACTGAATTTAATATGCAGAAAAATAACATTGATTCCGAAATTATTCGAAATCTGAAAATGTTCAGTTGTTCTATTTCGAAACTTTATTAAAGTTTACCTCTCACTGTGACTTTCAATCCAGCCCAGATTTTATCTTTCCTATATTATTAGTAATACTTGAGCAGTCATCGGCGTTGTCGTCTGACGACACAGAAGTATCATCGAATGGTCCTTTGATGGCATTCCTCTTCTCAACCGCACTTCCATTTTTCCTTTTTTCATGATCATTCTTCTTTTCCTTCTTTCTTTTTATTGTTTCTTCGTCGCCGCTAAGACAATCGGACGAGTCCTTTCCTTAGCGAAACATTTCAAGATCTGAAATAGGTATAAATTATTGATACGTTCATGTTAAGCATAAAACGAACCTCCGAAAGTGCATTGACATGTTCTTCATGAAATCCTGCCTCACACAATCATTCATTTTCTGAGCTGATTGTGATTTTTTCTCAGGCTGTGTGTGAATCAACAGTCAACAATTCATCTGGAGATTCTTCTTCATTCACTCTGACGACTGAATAGTCTGCAAAACTCATTTTTTCGAAATTGTTTGTTGAATGCATAAAACTCCAATAATGAAGGAAGGAGCTTCATGTGGACAAATTATAGTGAGTGAATTCGAATAGAAACTGTCGGAGTGAAAAAAGGTATGTTTGGGTAAATAAATCCATAAAAGGGGAATGGAAATCCAAAAACAAAACAATAATTGTTGAATATTCTACTAAAAGTTTATATTTCAAAAAAAGGATCAAAATTGAAATCAAAGTATGGTTGAAATTGATATTTTGAGACAAATCAATTTGGAAGAAAGCATAATTGAAACTAAAACAACGTTTCAGAGAACAATCGAATGAGATGAAGAAAGAAAAAATAGCAACACAGGAGTAATAGTAATCGGTAAATTGAAAAGATAATTAAGAAATGGGTAAAGAAGAAAAAACAAAAAAAGAAAGCGGAAAAATAACTGTAATTCTAGTTTAACTTTCACAAAAACCATAATTTTAATTATACATTTAATCATCAGACTCTGAATCGTAATCAGACTCTGGATCGTAATCAGACTCTGGATCCTCATCAGGCTCTGGATCTTCTTCCTCTGGTGGATCAATCTCCTCCTCATCGCTGTCCAATATGACCACTTCCTCTTCCTGTTCAAACCGTTCTTCTTCTTCTTCCTCTATTATTTCTTCTTCATCGCTTTCCACTATTGGACGCTTCTTTGCTCTTCCACGTTTTGACTTCTTTTTCGGTGGCTCTTCAGCTCTGAAAAATGAACAACTTTTTTATTGAAAATATACACAAAAATTCTTATTTGATAAAATTGCTTACCTCGGTTTTCCCGATCCTCTTGGTCTTCCTACTTTTCTTCTTGTTGGCTCGCCAGGAAGGAATCTGAAGAAAAATTATAGTTTTTTAAAAGAGGTAATATATGCTTACTGTTCACTGTCATCAGAATCCTCCGTTAAGCTTTCTTCTTCGTCGTCCCCGTCTTCTTCTGTGTCTTCGTACCTATCATTCTTTCTTTTTCGATTCTTGCCCTGAAAACATTTTTTTGGTTTAAGATATGCTCTATTAGAAACTAGCCTTGCGCAGCTTATCAAGTTCACCAAGGTTTTTATATTTATGCATGTTGACAAAAACAAAACCTCGGAAAAGTTTTAGAGCATCATTATTGACTCCATTGAATCGATTTCGGAACTTTCGAAATACGGACTTGGCAAATGAATCGCCCTCATTCTTTTCAGAGGAGATGAGTTGTTGATACAGAGTTCTGTATTTCTTACAGAATCTGTTCAAACTTATCACTGGAGCGCCGAGTTCAATCAAGTTCAGAACGATCATCATATTTCTGAAGGAGGATTCTGCTCCGACTGGAAATAGTTTGAATTAAAATCAAATTCGGAAGAGGTGAAAGATACCATTGCTTACTTCTCGCTCTTCTTCTTCTTCATCATCATCGCTCTGTTCGTCATCTGAATCCTCCTCCGCTTCCGTTGCATATCCAACATCGTCCGGATGAAACCAAACTCGTTCACTGGGCCCTAAAAATATCATTATTCAAGCTGTCTGGATCTTTCTCGTACTAGAAGAAGTGCTTGGAGAGCAGTCATCAGCATTGTCGTCTGACGACATGTCATCCGATGGCCCTCTGACGATATTTCTCTGCTCAACCACATTTCCATTGTTCTTCTTTTTCGTCATCAACTTCTTCTTTTTCTTCTCTTCTTTGATTCTTTCTTCGTCGCTGCTCACATACTCTGATGAGTCCCTTTCTTTAGCAAAACCTCTCAGTTTCTGAAATAGTTTTCAATTATTAAAACGTATATGCCAAACCTCAAGCTAACCTTCAAAAGTTCCATCGCCTCGATATTTTTCTCATATATTCCTGCCTCATTCATTGCGAAATCTGCACATCTTTTTTTGCAGACACCGTCAATCGTTGGGATATCTCTGGTGATATCAAACAATTTTTGAGCAGCTCGGCTGAGTGCAAGAGTGTTCTCATTCTTTGGACACTGGCAGTTTTTGCTGGACAAAAGCATTGTTGGACAAAAGCATTGAAAGCAGCAACTTTCTTTGCCCATCTCGATTTCTCGGGTTTGCAGGAAGAGACCTTTATGCATTTTGTTGAATACATCCCTCATTTCAACTGAAAAATAACAATCTACAACTTATAACACTGAGAAAAGATTACCATCCGTCACAGTTTTTGGCACTTCTTTTTGAGGCGAATCCTGCAACATTTTATTACTATAATCAATCTCTCCCAAATTGAATGTTTGAGATTCATTCTCCCAATCAATAAAAAACTCACAGTGAATGGTCCGTTCTTTTTTTTAAGCCTCAAATGGTACTGATGTTTCTTGTCAAGAAATTTCAGCATAGTCTCTACCACCTTCTTGTTGAGCATTGAATATCCAGCCGATTTGGCGTGAAGCTGTTCGACAGCCTCTCTCTGATTTTCTTTTGCTTTACACTCTTCGGAGTCGATATGGTGAAGTTTGTAGCAAATAATGCAGAACATACAAACACTTTTCGAACCACTGGATATTGGCATGGCCATCGGAATGTCGCTATGCTTCAACCATTGCAAACGCTTCAATGTTATTGCATAACGATGAATCATTTGCTCTAAAAATACTCTAAGATTCAGATACATCTTTCAGATCTTACCGTTGTCCTTTCTCGCAATCGGCACTTTAATGTTGTCGAACGCATGGTCTGTATTTTGAGCATTAGCGATATTGAAGACAATGTTCTTTAGTCGAGCTTCCTTAGCTTGTTCTTCTCGACAAGCTCTACGCTTCTGCAACACAATTGAGATGAATCAAAAAATTAAAATATGAATCAATTCCATGCGAAATACTAATAACGCTGTTCTAAAAGTTACAATTGCCCATACTTACCAATTTAGTAAATTCTTTTCGATGCATTTCTTCAGGTCCAGCAGTTTGAGCTGTCACATTCCAGCAATGTTCGACGAACGCCGAGTTCAAAATCGAAACTCCCGAGAAGGCGTTTTCGAAAGCCTCCTTCCATGGAGTCTGAAGACATCCGTGATTGTAAGCTCTTTTGACCGCGAAGCAGGTGATGCAAAATGTATTTTCAGGGCAATTTTCCTCTCTAATTTTTTCTTGAAGATATTCAAACCGTCGAGCCATCAACTGGAAGGATTCCTCGAGGGTCGCTAAAAAACAAAAATTGATATGCGAAAAAATATTTTTCATTAGATTTTGGCCTTTTTCAGGTGTCTTTTTCAGGTTTCATCTCGGTTGTTAAGTTTTTGATTGAGTGGAAAATGGTGAGTGTAAAACAGACCTAGATTGAAAACATTGCATTTACAAAATTTTTCGAAAATTTTTAGCAATTTCTGAAAGACACCTGCTTTTTTCGCTTTTAATACAAACGGGCTGAAAAGGGGTGTCAAAAACCAGAAAATAGCGGGAAAACTAGAAAATTTCAAATGTTTCTGTGAATGCAAAGTTGCTATTCTAGGTCTGTTTTACACCCTCCAAGTTTTCCAAAGTGATTGGAAACTTGACAGTCAAGCTATAGACTTCTGAAAATGGTCATAATAGCCCAAAATAAACTGAAAAAATTTTTTGTCTATTTTAGTGGCCGGTACACAGTGATTAATCAGTGATCAAAGCGAAACTTGTTTTTCTTCAAATAAGTCATGAACATATTAATTCAAAACCATCTCCTCTCTCATTTTTGACTTTCTGTTCAAAAACAATTTTTATCGAAATGTTCGCATGAAAATTCTGCACAAACGTTGCTTATTTGGAAAAATTAGTAATCTGCGGTATTTTGGTAGATTCCCGAAACCTTGAAAAATTAAATTTTCCTGTTGATTTTTTCAAAAATGTATCTCCTCACTCATTTCTTCACCAAAATTGGCGTGTTGGCTCATTTTTAATGTTTTCGCCCTCTTCATAATGGTTACTTGATTAAAGTTAAAATTTTTGACCCAGAATGTTTAATGCCAAAAAAGATAATTTTCCAATGTGTCAAAAAAAAAGTACCATCAGGTCTCAAAAGAAAAACAATCTTCGTAAATTATTCGCCGTGCGGTACTGTATTTTTTTCTGAGTTGTGAATACTTACGAATTGGAGACGGTGGTCGTTGACGAATCATATTTTTATTATCTGACCGAATTGTGATCGTTCCTCCGGTGTCAGAGTCTGAATCAATAGTGATGACCTCAGATGGAGGTTTTTGTTCTTCTTCATCCATTCTGAGAACTGAGTATTTTCTGCAAAATTGATGTTTTCAAAATTGTTTGTTGAATTCAAGTCCTAAGGATGGATAGAGGAACATGTAAAAAAAAGTATGGAAATATGACAGAATTCAAATAGAAACTGCCGGACTGAGAAAAAAGATACATTTGGGTAAACAAACCCGTTGGAAGGGTAGGGTCCTAGAAAAACAAAAACATTCAATCAATATCTTAAATATTCAAAAAAATATATTTCGAAAAAGATCAAACCCGATAAATAACGAAATGTGGTTGAGATTAATAGTTTGTCACAAATCAGTTTGTAATACAGTATAAGTGAAAACTGAATCATGTTTCCAAATAATGATAGAAAGAGAGCAAGACAAAGAAAAACGGCAATGACAGTAGATTGAGATGACATTAATGACATGGACAACGAAGAAAAAAACAAAAAATAAGAAAAAGGAGAAATAACTGTAATTCTGGAGAACAAATGTAGAAACGGTGGATTGGAATGATAATGAAAATATGGACAAAGAAGAGGAAACAATAAAGGAAAAAGAAAAATAACTGTGATTCTAGTTCAAAATTTACAAATAAAATTAATTTCAATTTCGCAAAAAATTAATCGACAACAATAAATTCATCATCGGCATGCTCTGGTGGGTCGCCTTCTTCAGCATCACAGTCCAAGACGACGACATCCTCTTCTTCGTCATCAACCATATTCTCCGTCTCCTGTTGTAAGCTCTGAAAACATTATTTTAGTTTTAGATATATATTTTTTCAGCCAAAATTTTCAAAAAAAATTCAGTTTTGATCAGAACCTGAAACAGGGAAACAATTTTCTTTTTATTTCGGACCAAGTAATAAAAAAAATTTCACATTTTACTAACTGATCGTGACTAGAGCAATAAAAGTAAAGGGACCGGGTTTTCCAAATTCGAAAAAAATTGAGTATTTCAGAAATTTTTTCAAGTTTTTTCTGAGAAAGAAAAATCGTTGTTCTATTGACCCCGAAAAAGTTTTCAAGAAGACAGGAAAAATCTTTTCAAAAGCCCGGGCCTCGGAAATTCTAGCACGGCCCGGCCCGTTGAAAGTATGTTATTATCTTACATCGGATACATTAAGTGGATTTTTACGTATTTTTCATCCTAAAGACTTTCCGATACATTCATGAAATATCGGAATTTTTTTTGAAGTCATTCATAGGCACTTGGAATTACGATGGAAAAATATTAAAGATTTATAATTGCAGTCTGAGAGAGAATTTTTCTTATCTCGTTCAATTTAAAGGCGCAAGAGCAAACTACAGTATTTTTTGAGTCCGTTTTAATGCATTCATTCATTTTTTCAATTTTTCGACAATTTTCATTGTTTTTACAATCGTTCTCATCATTTTAATTTAATGCTTTCTGACTAACATTGAAAAAACAGTGAAATATGTCGCAAAAATTAAACAAACAGGAAAATACTGATCAAAGTAAGCTGTAAGCTAAAGTCTTTTGCTTATGCGCATTGGAAGGGGGACTCTGTTCAAAACATTTTTATAACAACAAAATGCTCAAAAAATCATCTATTTTTTCAGTATTACTGCAAAAAAAAAAGAAAAAAATCTGAAATCCCCAAAAAATGCGGTTGAAACCAATAATTTTCATTTAAAAAGTTGCGATAAGGGACGGGGATTTGAACTCCCGCGTTGTAAAAAACCTAGGCCACGGCGACTGGCAGCCTTTTTTCTTGTAGCCGATAGTGTTTTTTTCACGTTTTTCACCTTCCGGAGATAAAAGCGAAAAAAAATCCGGTAAAATTGCCACGTATGAAAGGCGCCCGCTGACTTGGCCTAGGTTTCTCACTCTGAAATCCTTGTCCCCCCTAACTTTTTTTGCAAATTTGTCATTTTTGGTTTCATTTTTCGTTGATTTTGGATTTTTTTCAAATTTTATCGTATTAATGTTGGGTACAAGTGGGCAAGCAAAAGTTTTCTAGTCTCGCTAGCGCGCGAAAATTTTAAATTCGAATTTTTCAAGGTTTTTTTGTTTCGATCACTTCAACGAAAATTTTTTTTTTCCAAAAGTCAGGAGCATTTTGTTTTTTAAAAATATCGGAAAATGTGTGTTCCTGAATAAATCCGATTGAGAAAACTTGCATTTTTATGATATTATTATTTTAGTTTTTTTTTCGATTCTCACACAATTTTTACGAGACTCTATATATTTTTCGGCACAAAATGAAGCAGAAATAACTCCACATCTTTTTTTTCGCCTGATTGTGACTAGAGAAAAGCAAACTTTGACAGATTCACAAATTTCTGGATCTGTTTACAGGCTTTACTATGTCAATTTTTATACAAAACCTTACTTTTTACGCAGACTGTGACCAGCGATCAGTTCCGAACAGCAACAATTATAGCAACTAATAGGTAGCAGCACACGAATTCCAAGAAAGATGGTCCAATTGATTTTTGCCTAATTGCAAAAAAGAAACAGAGAGAAAGGGGGAAAGGGTGTTTATGTTGCGTCTTCCATGTCTCTTTTTTTCTCTCGGGCTCTCTTTTCCTTTGCCATAGTATATTCGTTTCGAAAAAGAGACGGAGGGTGACCTTCGTGTTCGTGTATGTGTGTGTGTGGGTGTGTTGTGAGGATACCCGAAATGACTCCGACCCACTCACCTAACGTCCTCATCATGTAACGGATTTGCACAAATACAAGTAGCAATATGAAAAGCACAAATACAAGTAGCAATATGGTGTTTGGACCATAACATGGGCTCAGAAAATGCCCCGCACAAGGGGAATCTGAGAAAAAACCAACGAAAGATGTCAACGGGAGGCATATTTAAGGAACAACGAAAAAAAAGAGGAAAACTGTTATTGAAGAAATAGAAAAAATAACAATCGAGTTACTTCCGACTTTTTTAAAATGGATAATGGGGTAAATGAAAAAAAATTATTTAACATGAAGATGTGATTTTAAAAAGTGTCCTGGCGGCAATCAAAACATTGAGTAAACTACATATAATAGTTGTGTTTATTATCATGTTTTTCATAGGACTTTTTTCCGTACTCGGCAATCAGAAATACTGATAAGGAATGCGTTTTCAAAAGGACTAGCTAGTTGGCAAGCAAAATTGCAAGTCACTTTAGTTGATTGTAAAACGTTACTCTAAAATAGTTGTTATTATGTTTGTTAAAGTTTGTCTTTTTAATTGATCAATAATGGATTTTTATTATACGATGCGTTGAGAAAATGCACTTGTTTTTTATAACACGCGATCGCAGTATGTTTTTGGAAATATAAATTCTGAAAAATTTAAGGATCCATTTGAAATAATATGAGCCAATCTGATGGAGTTGTATTCCTCAAATTGTATAGTAATTATTTTTTCTTGTCTTTACGATCTAACTTCAAATTTTTGGCAGTTTTTTCTTGGCCATCATTGTTTCTTTTCAGTTTTTTCTTAAACAGCTAAACACATTCCCATAGAAACTAGTGTTGAAACTTCAATTCAAAGTAATTAATGAGCCTATGTCATTGTGTAATTTTTCGTAGACATGAAAAGTTCGAACATGGAGTTTCTCAAGACATTAAGGTCACAAATTTTGACACAGGTGAATAAGTACACTGAATTATAAGGGTCTGTGATTAAATGCCGTGTTCTAGCCTTTACTCCTTTTTGCCGTTGCTATAGACTACGAGTTGATAAATCTATTCGAATAAAAAACACATTTTTCAATGAAAAATTCGTTGACTTTTCTGGAAAAAAAAACACTCCTAGCTCTTTATTTTCTCTCCACTTTTAATTTCCTTTATTTTTTTTTGTTCCTTCAGGACTAAACCACTTTTCTTTTTTAAAGTTAGTTCAAACTCTTGAAATTTTTCGTTTTGACTATGGAATTCACTTGCTCAAAATACTTTCGGGATTGCATGAAATCATTTTCAAATTTTTGGAAAATTATGTTGGTTGACGGAAATGTAATCTTCATCATACTGACTTTTTAATTAGTAATTTCCTAATATTCTATTATGATTATCCATGTATCCTCATTATTCTCAAAGTCTGTAGCACGAAGCTTTCTCTCTCTTCCCCCGGAGTCAAATTTCATGTAATACCAAATCATTATTTTTTCCAGTTTTCACATGTCAGGTGCTGAACCAATAAAGCGTTACTCTAGCCCTAGAGCTTATTAATATTTTCCAAATGAGAAAATTCGAAATTGACTTTTTACTTCTACCAATGTAGTCAGTATTGTGTTTTTCACTGACATTAGAGCTGGTGTGCGATGACTTTTTTATTGATTCATTTTGTGAAAGAGGTGTATAGATTTTAAAATAATTGTGGAAATAAAAACACCGCATTGAAAAAGCGAAGTTTCTGACAGCCGATTGAGAGTTTTATAAAAAGGAAAATGAGTTAGAATTTCTAAATGTAAAGAATCAAATAGTTCCGTGTGAAAAAACGATCGGAATTGGAGTCAAAAATCATGAGAATTCAAATACAAAATTTTGGCGTGTTGGTCGGGGTCTAGAGAACTCAGACTCGGCCGCCAGCTACCGGATACGACTTCACTTTTTTATCGGTTTTTTTCACTTTAGGATCTAATCTTGGGTCGATAAATAAACGTCCTCTTTTTTCTTGATTTCCAATCATACACCAAAAATTGTATGAAGAATTTTGAGTTCAGATCACATCGACCCAATCATATGATATTTTCAACACATTCTGTCTTATTCCACTAGCTCAAATCTGATATCTATCTCTTAAGAAATGTATCCAATCACATTCTCAATTTCCTACTGGCCGACAAAAAGCCATATAGGGTACCAAGTCTCAATGACTCTTTTCTTCTCGTCTAATCTTGTCTGTTTTTGTGTGTATTTCTGTTCTCATGGTTTTCGTTTGATGAGCTTTACTAGAACACAAAATGAATAAAACCCCGGGGTGTGTTAATCATAATGTGTGTTTTTCACTGACATTACATGGATTATCTCTTTTTTTCGCATTTTTAGAATGTCACATTTTTGATTTTGAAGTATGTGTTTCTTTTAAAACAGAATCACCTTTTTTATCATGTGTATTCGTTTAAATGAAAGATTTTACTTACAGACAGTTAAATGTCTAGTAGAGAACAAAACGCGGACCGAGAAATCATTCATAGAATGGAAACTCTCAGCATGGAAAACGAAGAAATAGAGAAATTAAAGGAAACAAGTGAGGCACCAGCAAGAATGGACGGATCTGAAAAAGGCGACGGAATAGAGGAAAGCGATTCATCACGCGTGTATTGCGATCATAGTGAGGACGCTCAAGACAACAATAATAAAAATTCTGAAAGATCAAATGACGAGGAAGAAGAAGAAGGCGAAGAATTAGATGAGCGAGAAGAAGGAGGTTAGTACATAGACAAGATACTTTTTTCGTTGATTCTTTGCGGATACAAAACTATCTTCTGGCAGTTCAAAATCAAACTAACAGAAAAATCTTATGTTTAACTGAAATTTATCAAACACATTTGACAAGTGAATTTTTTGTAGTCAATGAAAAGTTTTAGCTAAACAAATTATAGATCAAAACAATATGGTGGACTCACTGCCTTAACGAAAATCTGAATTCCTGCAATATCAATGATTTAGAAAATGCGGCTTCATTATTGAAGCAAGGTTTTTTGTGTTCATTGATGCTAAAAATGGAAAATTACTAAAAGTTGAAAATTCAAATTGACGAGAATTTAGAAAATAGTAATACATACATTTATTAAATATTTTTTTAATATTCTTATTTCAAATAAAGCTGTACAGATTTTGAATAAACCTGTAGTTTTCCGATAACTGCAGAAATGTTTAAAATGAAAAATATTTAAATTTATTTTATCTCATTTTGTCTTCATAGCAGCCATAAAGAGAATTAAATAACGAACTCCGACCAAAAACTTGTATTGCACAAAAAATTTTCGAATTTGATGTATTTTTCTAATATAATTAAGAAAAAAAGAAACGTGACGCAAGAACTCAAACCCTTGTCGTTTTTTTTTGATTTTTTAAGGATTCCGATTTTTGTTAAATATATCGCAATAAAATTAGGAAAATTCAAAATATCAGAAACAATTCATTAGGTTGGAAAGAAAATAACTGTCCATTTTTTGATCCGTGAATAACACAAAAACAAGAACTATCCAAGATTGACAGTATGCACCATCGTGGTCCACCTGGACCGCTTTAGTTGGACGTTTCTTCTTCACGCCCCGCAAACTCCTGATTTGCCACTTCTATTATTGGTTATTAGGAGATATGCAACGTCATCTGGAGGGGAACAATTCAACACTGTATTTGAGATAGAATCTGGACTGAAAAAATACATACTTGCAAAATCTCGGCCAGTGGGTCGGCCCGATGAAGTGCCGGCCCGGCCGGCCCGGGGTACTTACAGACGTTGATTTTTTTTGAAATTTTTTCAAAAATTCAAACAAAAACGACCGGTTTTTTGACTACTTTCTACTTCGTAATTTCGATTAATAATGTACCCTTTTTTCTTTTTAATTCAAAAAAAAGTACCCAAATTTTCATTTAAAAATTTTCAACTGTGGTAGACGGACCGGCCCGGGGTCGGGCCGGGCCGAGAAAATTCGTCCACCGGCCCGGCCTTTTGCAACTATGAAAAAATACTTTTATTAGCGGCAAGCTGGCTTTTGGAGCGATGGTATCCACAAGTTACCTGAACGTTGTCGGCATTCTGCGGACCACAACGGTGCATACTACCAATCTTGAATAGTTCTTGTTTTCGTGTTATTCACGGATCAAAAAATGGACAGTTACTTTTTTTCTAACCTGAAAGAACAATAAAAACGTTTGGTCGGAGTCCCCTTTAAACACTCATATAGTTCAACCTTGAAAACCAGTTTTTCCTTTATGTCCTATTAATTTGAAATTAATCAACTCATATGTTTTTAAAGTTTTGTTTCCGCCCATCCATTTTTTTTCAGAACCTTCGGCTCCACCACAAACGTGCAAAAAGAAAATTTTCTATCCTGGTCTCAATGGTAACAATTCAGTCTACGTCAAGTTGGTCAGTAGAGAAAATGATGAGTTTGTCATTCGTCGTTCACGAGCTGAGAAGTCGAAAACCATCCGTGACATGCTTCAAGGACCAAATGCTGGTACTGACAATACCGTTTATCTCCATATGGTTAGCTCGAAGTGCGTCAAAGCATTGTGTTGTTATCTCAATTGGCAATACGAGTATCTCAAGAAGAAGGGAGAGTACGAGGCGTTTTACATTGCACCAGAAGATTCGATGGACCTTTTTTTCATGTCGGCATACTTAGAACTTTAAGACAATTTTTTTGTGTTCACCGATTTCAATATCCTCTGTCTGTAAGATAACATAGAGATGTTTTCTGCTGTCTTCTATTGAACTTATTTCTTTTTTCCACAAACCAGTCCAAATGATGCCAATATTTTTTCATGTTCCTCTCCATCTTCCAGAGAAAATATAACTTTTCTCGTCAACTCCAAAACCCCTATTGAAATGTTTTTTCCTGCAGTTTCCTGTGTGTTTTCGATTTTAAACAATTTTCTCATGTTATACATCTCAATAAAACTAGCTAAAAAACTTAAATCGAACAAAATTTATCAAAATTTAAAAACTGTCATATTTTCAACCATAAATCACATTTTTCCACAATGCTCTGCAATTGCTTTCGAGATCTTAGTCAGGTGAAGAAATTATAATGTTTTGAACAGACGGGCTCGAATTTAGTTATCGTTATGTTGTGGTCTGAATGAACACCAGACAGCGATCCTGCCAATCTCAAATTGATTACACAGTCGAGAGAACAAAAATTCCAAATTTGGAAGATTCGAAGCTTCCGAAAGGTGTTCACGCGTGAACTATTCATCAAGCTTAAATTATTGAGTTTCGCCGTTTTTGTCCTACCTCTCCAAAATTGATATAAATCTTTGTGTGGTTTTCAACCTTTTTTTTAAACTCAACATTGTCTGTCTTATAGATTTCTATTTCCAAACTACCCTTTTCAAAATAAGTAGTGAAATCGAAGATACACTCGCGAGGATATTTTTTTTCAAGTTATTTATTTGTTGTTTTCCCGGAAATTGAATTACAGGTGTCACTAAAATTTATAGTTTGAAACCTACTGACACCAAGCGATCAAGCACATTTCTTTTCAAAAATTTCGTCCAAACTCCATGAAATATGACTAGTCTGAATTCAATACGTGTTGAGAGCGAATATCTTGTTTTTTTTCGATTTAAATTGAAAAAAAAAATGAATCTTGTTCTTTCCGATTTAAATTGAAAAAAATGAATTAAAATCATGAAAAATCTTCAAAAAACGGTAAAAATGGTCCAAATATTGAGAAAATATGTAAAAAAGTTTTGAAAGGCTTTAAGAATAGTTCGCTCTTAGGCCTTTAAAAAATTCAACAAGATTCCCGCCTTCAACATGCATTGAATACCGTAAACACTCTAGAAGGTCACCCACCCTGCCAACTTTGAGCCCAAAAATCTTGATTCCTGTGAGAGATATAAAAAAGTGATAATTAAAAAATGTTGCAGCTATTATGAAAAACATTTGGTCAGTTGTTCACTTTTTATATCTTTCATAAAAATCGAGATATAAACAAAAATGCTATTGTTTTTAAGCCCCCAGCTGTCTCTGGAGAATCCGAATAATATTCCTAGTAACCGGTTATCATCCTTAGTTATGTCTTGAAAACTCGTTCAGTAAAAATATGACAATCAGTAGTAATACTTTTGAGTTTTGGTTGTATTGACGCTGTTCTTAACTCGATTTTCACAAGTGTTTTATTTTTTCTCCATATGACCACCATGCAACATATTTAGATACAATCCAAGTGCTCTTGTTGAAAACCTTTGCTCCGCGCGAGCAGCTGAAATTATCAGCAATCAAATATCCAATAGTTTTGAACTACATGTGTTAAGTGACGTTTGGTTTCTTATGATTTTTTATTCTCAGAAAAAAGGTTGCCGCTTTTTGAAAATCTACAACATTTTCCAGAGAAAAGTTTGTCAGAAGATCAGTAAGAAAGGTGTGTTGTCCAATCACCAACCAGTTATTACAAGAAGAAGGTTGTTTTGAAGCATAAGATTTCGAATCTCGACCATTTCATTTGGTATTCCTTCTAGTGATGCCTTCCGATATTGAGATTTCTGGTTTTTACAACTCTATTAAGGAACAGGAAACTTATTTCACTTGGCTTCGGGTATGTTTCCATCTTGCTAATTCTAAAGGGTGTACAGTCTGTTTTGTTTTCAGAGATACATGGAAATAACATCTGTCTTAAACATCATCTTTGTAACTTTGACCTTTTATCTCATTCGAACTGAAGGTAAAAACTTGAAGCCTGAATACAAACAAGTCCTTCTCTGCAACCTATTTCTCCCCGCTATATTCAGTTTGTACATGGGTTTCGTTTATCAACCATACATAGTTTTCCCCTATCATCTTCTACTCACCGTTGGTTTTTTTCGTTTTGGACCTTTTGTAACCGCCCATCTCTTCAATATCTGCTGCACTGTTGCTATTTTGTGCTCCATGGGCTTTATCTACTCGTTTTGGTTCAATTACATCACTATTTGTTTCCGTATTTCCAAACAAAGCTCTACAAAATCCAATCTTATCGGATTAATAATAGGAGTAATTTTCACTATCGTCAATTTTGTGCTCATGACTATCGGAGTGGACGATCATCAGTATGAAGATCGAGACAACTTGTTTGAGGGAGATGAGAAATTACGGTACTTCTTCGATGAGTATTCTATCGCTATCGTCAGAGTGAGAGACAAATGGTCCCTGAAGGTAGACTAAAAACAAAGAGAATAAAACATATTGTGTTGTTTAGGCGCTCAGTGTAGAGGCGTTCGTTGGAATTACAGTGGTGGTCGTTGTTATTCCAATTATCACAATCAAGTCTCATACAACATTGAGCAGAATACACAACATGATCTCTAAACAGACATTGATTCAGTTGAAAAATGCACTTGCTATCAGTCTTTGGTATCTTTTTCAGTTTGGATTACTGGTGGGTATACCGGCTGCCACTGCTATGGCTCTGTTGTTGATGCATTATGCACCATCGGAAACGTAATTTCTTTTTTCTTGCGACAATACAAAATTATCTCTTTTAGTTTCCCACTGGCTTTGGTTGTTCTGGCACCGACGCAATTAACCTGCCCAGTAATTTGCGTCCTGTATCTATCGGTCATAAAACCGCTGCGTTATGGCTTTCTACGACTAGTAGGACTGCAACGATTTGCTCCTAAATCAGCTGTCAAAATTTCCACTCAATCTCGTAGGAGAATTTTATATATTAATTAATAATAATAAATAGTTTTTGCAGAGCTCTCAACTTTCACATCCCATGCACCCCCAACACGCAAACATCGCAACCCGTACGGGTCCATACGGCTTCAATAATTTTTCCGTTTTTTTTCCCTGTTAGTGTTCAAGTGTTCATAAACAGAATGACGATCGCTTCTGACTAACATAGTATTTTGTATAAATATTTGAATTTTTGAACAAAGTAGGCATGTGGTATTTATTAGTGAATGTAAATTACAAGGTTTCGAGTGAATGAACACTTACTGTACTGAATAACAAATAAGAATCTAACTTTTGAAAATTTATGAAAACGTTGTTCCCGAGGTATTGATGAGAAATGTGCGAGTATCGGATGATCGTTGAGTGTTCTAAAATAAAAATATTTTGCCAAATCATAAAGCAAACGCTAACTTCCACTTTTTGTTGCCAGTTCTTTTGCGCCATTTCTAGATTAGAAAGATGGAATGCAAGGATCAAGTTCTTGGCATCCATTTCTCGTGCCTTCATGCTCCTCTCTTTTTCCTCTCGAATCTTCCGGAGTGCCGCAAATTTTGGGTTGTTAGGATCGGAGTCAAAGACAGCCAAAGCCTTTCCAAGGAAGCTTCCTTCATCCATGTTTCGCACCTTAGACAATAGCTTCAGGACCATGTCCTTTTCTAGGCTAGCTGGCTCGGCGAATAAGAGTAAAAAGATTTCCTGTCGTCGATTGAAAATTGCTGCCGATCCTGAAAACCAAGTTAGAAATCGTGTAACTACTGTTTTGGCTATAAATATATAACAAAACGTGATTTTCAGTTCATATTGACCATTTTCAGAAGTCTGGAGCTCGGCTGTCAAGTTTGCGATCACTTTGAGAACTTTCAAGGGTGTGGTACACAGTTAAAATCAACTGAGAAACACATGTTTCCTTATATTTCTCAGCCAGAACTGTATGACAAGCTTATTTACCATCAACAATTTACTAGAAGGACACACACTTCAAGCTCAATTATCTCAATATCTATAACAAATGACAAAACTCTTTCGACTGATAAAATGTTTGTCATAATACAACCAACATTTCATTAGCTGACACATTTTTGTATCTCTCACACAAATGTAAATAATTGAGCCTAAAAGGCAATTATAAGATGGCTCTATATCAGACTATATACGGTATTTTACAAGAAAATAAAGAAGTTACTCACGTTTAACACCCATCAAGAAATCGTCTTGATTCCCACCATCTCGTAAAAGGTCATCCATTTTTGGAACATCTTTCAGTATTTGCTTACACTCGTCAATCAACGCGTTCCATTTTAGGTTCTTTTTTTCTGTCTCAATCTCCTGATCTTCTTCAGTTTTATTCATTTTTATCTCCTGAATAAGGTTTTGGCTTGCACTTGATGGGAAAAAAGCTTCTGGTTGAAAGGAAGGATCCACCGGGTGGTAATTGCAAAGTTGAAAACTTGGCGGTAGTAGTGCCGCTTCCGGTATAGGAAATGGAGGAAATCCTTCGAAAAGTGAGTCTAGACCCATGTTCTGAAAACGTGTAAAATCCACAAAACTGAATGTCAGAGAGTATCAGGTTCATGATAATAATGGGGTTTCCGTTAACTTTGAGAACGCAAGTGCAAAGTTTTAAAATCAAAAAAAATGGAAGGTGGAGTTATAATAAGAGTCAGAAAAATGGAAGAATGGAAAAATTGGAGAGAAATCTAGAAAATGCTTTCCTACTAATATTTTCAAACTTATTTTTTTTCATTCTGAAATTTTCAGAGGTGGAGACGAAAAAACTGAATGCACTTTCCGAGTCTAAGACCTTGTGGGAACACACTGTGGGAACATATATTCTTCCGTCCACACGTTTCTAAGGCAAATCCTTTTGAAAGAATGGAAATGAAAGCTTCTCTTCTTTTGGGATGAAAAAAGAAGAGCAAGCAAAAACGAATAAGACGTTTTCATGTAATGATGCGAAAGCAATTTTTTGAACATCATTTGGACTCTATGATGCTTCGTGGCCCGTTGCACAAACACAAATTATTTTTAGATGTAAAAATAAGGAGGCAAAAAGTGCGCGTCCTCAAAAAGTTCAGATTTCCGCTGAACTGGAAATAACAGCTGGTATTAAAAGTTTCTTATAGAAGCAGAAAATTGTTTCGAGAATTTAGAGAATTCAAAATAAAGTGCTTTGGCCACCACCGGAGAAATTCGTTTTGAGTAACGCTAATTATAGCTGTCATGTACATGTCATGAGTTCTGTCATTTCAAATTTTCAAAATTCTTGCAGGCATGGCTAAAATGTACAAGAGTGCACAGTCCATTTTATTTCAAAACGAGGAAAAACAGACAAAATTAATAAAGCTCATGCATTTTTTTTCAGTTTTGGACAAATGACTGCGTTTGTCCATGTGTGCATCCAACACGGCGGAATTTGTGCTTCTCGTCATCTGTGAAGTCTCGGCCTTCCCATTTCTGATCAGCTACTAATTTGGCAATGTACTCCACATGGATACCACCAGCAAGGGTTACGGTTTCCGGGTGTCCAAATGATGGTGTTCTTCCGCGTTTCGAGTCGGCCAAAATCCATGTGTATGCTCCAGGAGTTGAGTTTCTTGGGCAGCTGATGACCACGTATGTGTTGGGGCCACTGGTATAGTATCTGAAAAATTATTTTGTGTATTACTTTATCGATGCCCGTGATTTCATAAAAACCGTGTTTTAAAAAATCGAAAATGTTTTTTTTTTCGGTTTCAGAGTCCGAAAAGTTTTGGAAAAAAATTATTTTCCTGTTTTAGGCTCCGCAAAAACCCGGACAAATGTTTTTTTTCGGACATTGTTTGAAGGTTTTCAGAAAAATTTGTTTCGGTTTCAAGATCCAAAAATTTTTCGCTCAGCCCTGCTGTCAAGTGTCCGATCTTCGCATTTAAAGAATTTTTGAAATTCCCTAGTTTTTCAGTTATTTGCCGATTTCTAAAGGACACCTGCTTTTTCACGTTCTTAGTACAAAAACAGGAAAAAAAGTGTCCTTCAGAAAAAAAGTGTCCTTCCAGCTAATAGCTGAAAAACTAGGAAATATCGGAAAGTTCTCGGACACTTGATAACTGAGCTCCATAGTCCTGGAAATGATCAACACCCACTGAAAAACACATCTTTTAAAATTATTGCCGCCACTATATACCATACAAACTGTTTTCAAAAAACTCACCTCAATTTGGCTTTTACAATTTTGTCACCGCGAAGCGTTTTGAGTTTTGGGCTGTCTAAAAGATTTTCAAATTTTTAAAAATTATTATAAATACAACTTACTGTCATATTGTGGGTAATGAAGTCCTGATGGTCCACCATAAGGCGCAGAAGGCAGTCTTGGATAATCTGGTGATGGAAGTATTTGTGGGTAGCCTTGTCTTGGTCTATACATATCTTGTTGGGAATAAGGAAAGTCTGGCCGTTCATACTCATTACTGGACGAGTCTCGTCTATCATATTCGTCACTGGTTTCAAGAGACTGAGAAAAAATTGTTATCGTTACCAAATTGGCGTTGAAAACTTACTTCATACGAAGAGCAATGAGCTACAGCAAAGCTCACGCTCAATAAGATCCAAAAGTTCATTTTGGGACCGTATGTTATTATTGTGTCATCTGAGCCACCCTTTTATTCATTTTGATATGCTTTCGAATCCCAAGATGAATCACGACGTTTTAAAATATATGATGTGGGCTTTCAAATGTGGGAGATCAAAACTCTGAATCCTACAACAAAAAAATCTATAAAAAGTGTCTGTATATGATTCATTGATATCAGCTCAAGATGTTTGGGTTAGTATTTTCGGCAATTCTTTTCATTGTAACTGCTTCTTTCGGTCAAGAAAAGTCCGATAAACAAGCTTTGCCACACCCGTACAATAAATCTGACTTTCCTCCTGTTGACGATTACACCTTAAAGGCATCTAGCGAATACGGTGTACCTTCGATTCCAGGTGGTCCGCTCCCACTTCCACCAGCAATCCCCCCAATCGGACATTATGAAGAGGTACCACGTCCACCCGGAATCTCCCCATTTGATTCTTGGCAGCCGGCCCCACTCCCCCAAATCCCCCCAATCGGACATTATGAAGAGGAACCACGTCCACCCGGAATCGAACCTTATCAAAATGCAGGAAAATGCCAGAAGATCAAGCAACTGAATGTGCGCGGACACAGAACTGCTCGTGCTAAATTTGTGTGAGTTCCGTTTCTGACAGCTGTTCATAAATTTCCCTGTTTCAGTGAACTGGAAAGAGATGGAAAGACTTATATCGCTATCAGTTGTCCAAACACCGGAAAGCCATACGCTCTAGTGGCCGAAAAGAATGGTGGCGACACAATTTTCCATTTCGGCTCAGAGGTCATTTTCCAAGACACCGTTCTCCTTTCATCTGGATTCAACTTGGACTTCACTGTTAGATGCGATGAGAGAAAGTAGGCTTAAAGAAAAGAATAAAAGAAAGTTATATTCAGAAGTTGTATTTTTCCTTTTCAGCACTGTCGCCAGAGCATACAATGGAAGAAAAGTGTCAATAAGAAGAGTTGCTTGTGTGGAACTTCCTCAACCAAATCCAGTTACCAAATACTAATTTTCAATTGATTATTTTTGTGGACATATTTTAAAATGAATTTGTCTTTTTGGTATACATTTTCCCATGCCAGTTTTTGGCTTGATCGTGTTTCAAAATCAATTTAAAAAACTATATTACTCTTGTCCGAAATCAATGCACGTTACGGCCGAGAAAACAACGGTGGGCAGACCGCTGCACTATTTGCGAAAGCGTTAGATGGGAGAGAGGAAACGGCGGCTTTTCGTTGCCGGTCGCCCCCTTCCGGTGTTGCGTCTTTCCTATTGTTTTTCATAAATTTCTCTATGAAAGATAAGGAAACCGGCGTTTAACATAAAACCGCGTCAGTAGAATTTTTTATTATGATTGTTTTTAGTGGCAAATTTTGCGTAGAATCTTATGGTAAAGAAAACATCGGTGGCACGAACCTGTGCCACCATCAACACTTTCAAAAATCAAAAAATTTAGAAGTTTATAATTTACAGATGTGTATTAAAACTACTGAATGGTAATCAATCTTTTTGAAATTTGACACAGGTGTACACAAGACTTAGTTTTACCATAATATTCAAAGAAAATTTGGGGTCATCGCTGAAATTTTTAATGTATTTTGGCTGGAACTTTGGCTTAAAATTAGAGACAACCGCGTCAGTAGAATTTCGATTTTATTTCAAAATCCAATTTTCCATTTCATAAACTACCAGAATCCATCAAAAAATCTTTGGGCACGAACTTCCATCCAAAATTTTTAGTCCACTTGGTCAGTTTGGTTTCTGTTTTTCGAAGTTCTCGAATCAAAATGAAGACATTATCAAAAAACTGATAATCCCATTCGATTTGTCGCAGTCGATTACATAAGGACAAGTTCTAACCGTAGAAATCAAGAGTTTCTAACGCCCGGTACACGACTTCAAAAATGGACTTTTGAAAAGGGGAGAAAAATTCGGTCGCCCCGCCCCCTTTCATTGCGGCGCCTACTTATAAAATAAAAAAAAACAGGCAAATAGGACCCAAAATAAAAAACGTCCGAGGTACGGTATTTAAAGGCGCATGCATCAATTTGTTTTTTTTCGCTGTGCGACCGACGATGCGATTTTGAGTAAATTTTTGGCCGCAACGTGCATTGATTTCGGACGAGAGTAATAGAATACATTTGACCTAGAATCAGTTTAAAATTATGATTTTAGATTTTCAAAGCTACAGAATGATAAGACATTGTCTGCTTTTTCAATATATCTCGAGAACGCGGGAAATACTCAAAAAACATTGAACGACATTGGATTTAAAGTTAGAGAATATATTCAGGCTATATTTATTGGCCTGGTCCGTGTGGTGTAACTAGGTCAAATGGACAATGGATTGATTTCTAGAAACCTACCTTCCGAAAACCGTTCAGTTTCGAAGTTTTTTAAAGTTTTTTATAAATTTTCAAGTACTACAAAAGTTAGTCTTTTTGTTTTTGTTTCTTATTTAAAAATATAAGTGTATTTCATAAATATCACATTTGACCGAGGAAAGAAGGGTGGTTATCCCTTTAATTCTTAAATGCGGAAGAGGAAAGTACAATATTCTTCTAACTTAGTTTGAATATTTATTTCTCATTTTCTCAGTTTTTCGACAATTTTCACCGTTTGTTCAGTTATGTACATCATTTTGGTTCATTTTCTTAAGATTTACATTTTTAAAAATCGTCAAAAAAGTGATGAAATAGGAAAAAAAAATTTGAAATAGGCTCGAAGAATTTGGTAGTTTACTCTTACGCTTTTAAGAGAAAGCTGACAAGTTAGAAAAATGTTAAAATTGAAATTTGACAAGTTTCTCAGGGTTTTTTCTCAGACCACGATAACAGTTTGGCATTTTCATTCGATTTTTCAAATTGAACAGTTACATATATTCTGAAAAATCGTCAATTTCTCTTTTCTTTCAGAAAGTTATTTCAAAATTTGAATGAACGAATAAAATGTTACTCTTCATAAAATTAAATTTTCAAAATTTTAAATGAACAGAATAATGATTGTCTTAAATCAAAGGAAATGCGTCAAAATCTCCATGGAGGCATCCGACACGTTTGAAGGACTCTTTATCATCATTCACAAAGTTGTTGCCTCTCCATTTTTTGTTGTGCAACTTGGCGACGTACTGAACGTTGATTCCTCCAGCAAGAGCAACGGTGTCATCGAGTCCGAAGCTTGGAATTTTGTCTTTGGAATCGGCCAAGATCCAGGTGTATTTCTTTGGGTCAGTGTTCTGTTTGCAGCTGATTTTAGCATAGTGACTTCCTCTGTGCTTGTAGTATCTGTTTAAAAAGTTGATTTGAATTTGACTTCTCTGTGAGAAAATATTACGTGATATCAGCATCAAAGACATTATCAGCGTCAAGATCCTTCAGTTTGCGGAAATCTGAAAGTAAGTCATCCTTTTTAGTTTTTTGTCTTTAACTACACTAACGGTCTTTCTTTTCACGACTTTCATAACTGCCATAACTGTCATCACGATATACTGGGTAGTGAGCAGGTCCGGACGGGTAGGAGGCTCCATTGTCAGCAGCTGGCTAAAAATTAACATTAAGTTTGCTTGAAATCCTCAGCGAAATCTTACTGCATATCCACCAGCAGCGACCATAGCAACGAATGCGGCTGACAAAATCAGAAAAGCCATGATGTTGAAGTCAAGGTGATTGTGTTCTTCATTGAGGATCCTTTTATACGGAGCCATATGTTTATACTAGAACCTTAGATTTTTCCTTCCCAAAACATTGAAAGTGACAAAATCGAAGGGAAAAAAGATCACAACGTCAGCAAGACGTGTCCTCTTCCTGGTCTGACTCACCTTTTTTGTATCTTTCTTGACATGATTAAATTTTGAGAACGTGCACAACAAAAGGTAGTATAAAAAAGATCATTCAGCTATCAGAAATCATTGTCACCGATCAATCTTCAATATCGAAGATGTTCGTGCTCTTAACTCTTGGTCTTGTGTGCACGGCAGCTGCCTCGTCTGGATACGGTGCCAATAACTACGATCGCCCCAGCTACCAGGGACCATCCTATGGAGGAAACCATGGGTATTATGACTACTCTTCGTCCGAATCTAGCAGCAGTGAGGAGAAACACCGCAGACATTGTAAAAAGCCACAGAAACTCTCTGTGCCAGATGGAATCAAAAATCTTGCCAAATCTGCTCAATTCTTGTGAGTAGTTGAATTCAACTAGTTTTTGAAACTATTGAACATATAAATAACTTTTAAGGACATTGGAAAGAAAAGGAAAGCAGTACACCAAAATTAGCTGCCCAAATGATGGAAACGCATATCTCTTGCTTGGAGAAAAAGAAGGTTCCGATGTTTCTAACGGAGATCATACTGTCAACGACAGCATTCTTCTGGCCGAAGGAGTGAATCTTGATCTGGTTGGAAAATGCAAGGGTAGAAAGTGAGTTATCAACTTTATAGTGTGAAACGAATAATCAACTTTCTAGTGTCCACGTCAAAGCTGCCAATGGAGACAGAATTAAGGTCAAGAAGGTTGTCTGCGTGAAGCTTGAGGGGCTACCAGACAAGTTCTGAATGAGTTATACAATTTATTCTATCAAGTAAATAAATATTTTGAATTGAAAATCGATATTTCTTTTAGCTAGAAAGGGAAAAGTCTAACTTCCATTTCAAGTTGCGTCATTTAAAAAAAATTATGAGAAGTTAAACTTCACTCGAACTCAAAATTCACTGAATTTTTTGGTAGCACTGATAAATATGGGTTTTCCTTCCAACATTACGTTGGTTCTATATTTTTCAGTTAGCAGAATTTTGAGCTTCACTTATTGCATACTTGTAAAATTCCGGGCCGGCCCGAGCCCGGCCCGGGCATTAGAAAATTTTCAAGGCCCCGGCCCCGCCCGGAAGGCCCGGTAGCAAAAATTTTGTCATTTTGAGCCACATTTTGAGCTCTCAATACAATTTTTTTCTATGTTTTTTGTTTCTTTGGATTGTTTGTCTGTTTGATAAAAAAATATCAAAAAAAACTCAAAAAAATTTTTTTGTTCGAAAAAAATCATATAAAGGACCCCCCTTATGTTTTTTGAAAATTTCAAAACTTGTGGAATGACAGGCCCGCCGGGCCGGGCCTCCGAATTTCGGGAAAAAGCGGCCTGTTACAAGTATGACTTATTGGAAATATAAAAATAACCAGAATAATCAAAACATGTTTCATTTTCCATCATACATATGTATATGTATACGGCAAACTACAGTTGTTCGCTATACAATACAGGACACAAATATTTTTTTTTGGCTGTAATTTTTGAACGGGACGAGCTAAGACGATGAAACTTTTTCAATACGTTCCACTATTATGGTAAGAATTTTTTTGAACTAGTTTCAGCCAGTTCAGAAAATTTTTGATATTTGGAAATTTTCAGAGACTAAAATTGTTTAGAAAAAAATTCACGCATTTTCAAAATGTTCAGGTTTTTGATTTTTATCTTACAACAAAGTATTGAGCCTGTCTTGGTTATGACAGAAATAGAAGTTCAGAAAAAAGTTTTTTGTCAAAAATGACGGTCTCTAAAAATATTGAAAAATCTTGAATTTTCTGAATTGAATTTTATTCGGTATTTTTAACATAGCAGAGAGACGATGAACCAAACAGTTCTAGGTTTGGAACGTCTGGCTCTAAAGTTACAGATATTGAACACACTTTTCATACATCTTAAGTGAACTTAATGACATTGGAAGTGGGGGAAACACCAGACAACTTATGGAAAAATACTGTGAAATCAGCAAAAAACAACGATTACATACAAAAAAGGATAATTAAAAATTTCCGAATATTTTGGTGAAATGTTGAATTTTTCAAAAAAAGTGACATTTTTGGTAGATAAATGCAAATGGATATGGTTTTTAAAAACGTTATCTTTTCCGAAATATTCTTCGGATTCTGGTTTCTATTGATTATTTGATTGAAGTAGGCTCACAGAACAACTTGGAACAATTGAAATTAGATATTTCTTTCAGCATCATTGACCTCTCCTTCTTCGTTGCCATGGAACTTTCTCATCAGCTGGGCGGACTCATTGCATCTCTTGCGCGGGTTCCTCTCGGCCTCTCTGTTAGCAGACGACGATTGATCATATATGCTAACAATCCCGGCATCGGTGTCCTCATTCCATTTGTATGGTCGGAATCCAGGTCTATCCGGAGAGACAATCTTGGTAACTCCGAAGGGGGTCAAGAATGTTTCCATAACCATCAAGTGGTTGAGCTCGCCCATCATTTCAGGATCCGAACATACTCTTCTCTGGCATGGTGGGAACAGTTTATTGTCTTTGTCGTTTTCCAGCTGAAAATTCATTACTTTTCCCAGATCAGAGTCCGTAACTCTTACTAGTTTAACATTAGACATGACGTCGGTGATGGCCCTTGAAATGTCACAGTTTCTGCCCATTTCTAAAATTCAAACTGAGTTTAAATCGACTATTTTTAAATGCAACTTACCCTTCCAAAAATCAAAATACTGGACGAGCTGGCTGATTTGTTCTGTCAGAGGAGTTCCGTGAAATCTCTGGTTGTGATACAGCATGAGGCCAAGGGTACCTAGAAATACTGTTTGTAAATCTGCTAAAATGAGTAGGAACATACCAGGTTCTGGTTCTCCGCCCAGATACACATCGAAAGACTTGTCATAGCGATTGTTAACAGGCTGACGGAAGATTTCCGCACAATCGCAAACTCTGGTTTGGTCCAGAGAAAACTGTTCTAACTCTAGCGAAACGGAGTCGGACATTTGTCTGAGATTTTCTGAAGAGATTTAAAGATTAGCCACGACAATTTTGGAAAAATACAATTCATTTTTTCTATGAAAAAAAAGCTTGAAAATTGAACAGAAGAAATGAGAAATCGAGATATAATTTTAGGAGATTCAAAAAAGGGACTAAAAAGTGGACAGGTGGTGTACCATGCTAAAAAACTGTAAACTCAAAACATGGGACCACCTGCATATGTTTTTTTTTCTCTCTCTCTCCCTCTATTTCTCTCTTTCTTTCTTTCTATCTGAATGACATTTAGGAGAATAACTTTTTTCTGGGAGAGACAAAAAGGTCTTTTGGCGTTTCGAAAATCTAATAGACGGGAAAAAATCGTCACGGAATTTCAGATATAAAAGGAGAAAAAAGGAAAAGTTGAACTTCCGAGGAATCAATAATATAAAAGGTGCTGGCCAAATTTTCAATGTGAATGGGGCAAGTACGGAAAAAATGTCTTGGGAATGAAGCACTTTTATTGGATGAGAACGTGAAAAGGTTATGTGAAATAGGCAATAATCGAATACTGTAATGGGTTTGTTTATTAATTGTAGTGGGGGTCCGAAAGGATTTCAAAATGATTTTCTGTTTTTCGCTAACAGTTTCACGCCTCCCTTCGCGTCTGCTCCATTTCTTATGATTTGGATGACATCATTGTCTGATTCCCGACTACTGAAGATGCCACACGGCAAGGATAAAACTGGGAGCTCTCCAAATTTGAACGGGTGGACTATCAAATCGTCCAAATTGAAACTTGGATCCTCCTCGGCTTTTTTGGATGGTATCCATACTCCTCGCTTTTGTAGAGCTGATCTTGCAATGTGAAGTTTATCAAAAACGATTAGATATCAGCTTCAGTGAATACAGCTGGGTATATTCCTGATTGCTTTATAACGTGAGCAGGGGCGGAGTTATCTTGAATCTGAAAATTATCAGAGTCAGCATGATAAATAGATCTGATCAACAAACCTGGACCAAGTGGTTTCGGACAGCCACCAAGAGTGTGTGGATTTCATACTTCATCGCCAGTTCTGAAATTTTGGTAAACGGAAAACTCTTCCAACTCATTCCTTACTGTTTTTCTCATCCATGATACGGCGCAACTCGGCCATTTGATCAGCGGTGCTGCCTTCGTGGAAGATGTTGTTGTGGTGGATCATCCGAGCCACAGCGTCTAAAGTTCCTAACTCGAATATTTTTGTATCGGTAGATATTCTAGGAATTTGCGAATTTTTACTAATGTTGTGAAATATCATTTTTACAACAAATCGCCTTTTCAGTGCAAAACAGCAATATTCAAAAATGATTTTCCTAATTTCTAGGACGTTTCAGAACATGAAATTTGTTGCGTTATACATAAACTTGAATGAAACTTCATAGTGCAGGCAATTTCTCGAAAAAAAACGTTTTTTTTAATTTTTGAACTTTCCACGATCTTCCAAATTTATTCGTAACAGAAATATAAAATTTCTGAGAACATGTTTGAAATATAAATTTTCATTTAACTCTAAGTATAACACACTAATTCTCATGTTGCCAAACGCCCAAATATATGAGAAAATCGTCTTGGAAAATCGATGTTTTGAACTGAAAAGGCGATTTTTGGTACTGAAAATGATATAACTTGGCTGAAACTGGAGAGCGGATTTTAAAATTTTCATAGGTATCTCGATAAGATATTTCTAAGTATTTCTAAAGTTTTTATCAACTTCTACCGTATCATCTTGATTACACCTGTTTTATCCATAAGACTTTTACAGGGTGGCTGTTAATTATTGACACCAAACTTGCGAGCTAGATATGATGCATACCAGACGCACTAATGTGTGTTCTTTCATATTTTTTTTATTCCTCTACTCATTATGCGTTTCCCTGCCAAATTTCATCACATAATATTACGTCTGAACTGAATGGTAGCTCATTTTCCAACCCTACAGCCCATTTAATTTTTCTTATTCACACTAACGTGGGCAAACTAATAATTAATTTTGGGGTATCTGTGACATCAGATACCATCGTTATAGTCGTGAAAAAGAGGATTTGCTGAAATTCAGACTAGTGTCACAGAAAGCTCGCTGCTGACTTCAAAATGTCTCGATGCTTGATGAAAATTATTTTCCGAAAAGTACAATTTCTAGCCTTTTTAAAAATACCAACTTTTTGAGCGGCACGAACCTAAACACTCACAGGAGGGCATTAATTTGGGGTGATCAGTTTTACAGTCGATGGCAACAAGGTCTCTCAAAATTGCAGAACTCTATTCAAAGATATGTCATCTGTCTGACATTAACAAAAAGTTACGAATAGAATTTCGCTTTCTGCCACGATTTTGATCTTTGATGGAAACTGGAAATTGCGAAAAATCCTTTGTTTTCCTCAATTTTCGAATTAAAATCAACTATGGAACAAATCTAAGTTATCAATTATTTGCACTAATCTGAATCCTACTCGAAAAGTTAATAAAGGGCGTTTCGACAAGATTGAGCCACGGTTTTCAGTGCCAAAGACACCCCAGGGATGTTCAAACTCAATTTTTCGTAGTTGAACTAGGCACGAGAATGGATCGATTTCTCCTCACACTTAAAACAATACATTATTCAGTTTTAGAGTATTGGACCCAGATAGTGTCTTCAGAAAAATACAAAATATCACACTTCTGATGACCCCCCTTCAGAAGATATGGGCACACAAAGGTCGAAAATTATTCCGTGCCGTCGTTGCCTTCCTTCCTAAGCCTTTGAAGACTGTCGTCAGAGTGAAAAGAACTGTATTTGAAAACTTTTGCTTTATTATAAATTTTGCGTCTGAAATTATTTTATCCAAAATTTTGAAAAATTTTATCGAGTTTTAGAAGAGTTATGAAGGCTTGGATCGGTGTCAATAATTAATAGCCACCCTGTACAGTATCCTTGCGACATTTACCACATACTCTTGATTTTATTTACAGTATACTCTCGATATGAACCACAGTATTCTATTGATTTCATTTACAATACCCCTTCGATTTGAAAAAATGTTCTTTTTTGGCAAGATTGGTCAGTTACTCAAAAAACGAATTCGACAATTTTTAACAAACTTTTTTTTTTAACTTTGGTGGTTTCACGAAAATTGCAAGATAAGATCCCCTTTTCCCGGTTTTTCATTTACAAACGTTCCGACTGTCAACTATGTTCAAAAAAACTAACTTGGTTCAAGCCCTCCGATGAGATATTGATCCATTCGACCTCCCCGTTTGCTTAATTGCAAAGCCGTCGCATAAGTGCAAATGCTGGATTCTTCCTTGTGGCACCAAACAAGTGTACGTTGAGACATTAATTACCGAGAAAAATAATTCAGTTTGTTTTTCGAACTTTAACAGGGAAACTAAAACAAATTTCAGACTTTGATGACCTCACTCTCTGAGAAAATGGAAGAAAGCGACTACAAAGGTTGCTTTCCGAGTTGGTCGCCTAGAAGAAGCGAGGGAACTCCAAGAATGGAGAAACGCCCCTTTTTATACAATTTTTATACAATTTTACGATCTAGAAAGAATTATTATCCGAAAAATTTATACTTCCATTTTTGTCTCCAGAAGCAGAAAAAAGAAGATTTACGAAAACAGGGGAATACGAACGGAAAAGAAGAGAAGCTTTTAAGAAAATGTAATCTTTACTACAATTAAATGACAACGGTTATGGTGGGTTGGAAAGGGCTCGGATTTTTTTTTGATGGAAAAAAACGGAGATTTAATTTTCGGGAAAATATGGGTGGGAACGTTAGTCAAATATTAGAAATAAATAGAAACAGGGAAAGTCTGAAAATGTGTGGAGGAATGGAGAAGAGAGAGGGAAAATGGGTTTTTGGAAAAAGAAACGTATCTGCAGAAAAGGAGCGTGATAAGAGCCAAAAAGAGCAATAAATTACAAAAAAAAGTTTGATAAGTTAAATGGAAAAAAAAAATGTAGGCGTTGTCTGGTGACGTTTAGGTTTTGGATTGAGGACTTGTTGGTGGGGAGAGTTGTTCGATTAGGATTTCGGGAAGAAGAATTTTCGGAGCATCTTTAGAATCGTCTTTCGGTCCAACTTTCTTCTTAATCTTATCAGATTTTGGCGTGCTGGACCCGATTCCAACCATCTCTGCGATTCCCAGGAATGCTACTGGATCCGACACATTTTGAATCTTTGGTAGTTCCTCAACCTGCTTAGTTGGTCCAATGGGAGGTTTTGCAAGCGCTGCTCGTTCATATTGATACAAAGTGTCATTCTTCAGTCTCTTTTGGTAGTTGTACTGAAAAACATGAATTTAGAAAAAAACTGGGAATCAATGAATTTACCTTTTCAATGATTTGTTCAGTCTTTTTGATGATCGAGTCAGAGTCATATTTGTGGTCGAGTACTGAAAAAAACCGTTCGAAAGTATTATTGATAAAAATAACTTATCGTTTCAGTACACTCACATGAAGTTCTGGCCCTCATGATCCGAATCAAATGGCCGAGTTGCTCACAAGTGTAACCGTCATGGTACTCGTTGTTGTGAATGATGTAGATCGCCATTGTCTCTGGAAAAAATATTTTGAACTTATAAATTTTAGGAGAGTAGAGGAAGAAAACTACCAGACTAATTACAGTACCGGTTACAGTAACGTAGATAAACAACAAAGACATACAAAAACGTGTTTATCAGTTGACTTTGAACGATATTGACCATTTTCAGGAGGCTCGAGCTCGAACGTCAAGTGTCGGATCACTTTGAAAACCTTGGAGGGTGTTAAACAAACCTAGATTAATAACTTCACATTCACAGAATTTTATTTTGAAAATTCTCAATTTTTAGCTCTTTGCCGATTTCTTAAAGACGTCTTTACTGTTTTTGCACCGAAAATCAGCTGGAAAACACATTTTGGTGTAATAGATTGACCGTAACTGTGCTTTTGAATTGTGGGACATTAGATTAAACAACTATCAAGTTAATGAAGTATCAAAAAACGATCTTACCTGGCTCAATGCTTCCAAACAAATAGATATCCATCATTTCCGATTTTTTCTCACTTATCAAACCATATGCCGACTCACACAGCGTTCTGTTAGAACCCTTGCAAAGAGTCATACCTAAACGAATATGAATTGTTGAATTGACTCCGCGAACACGATTAAAAAGTGAAGTTAAACGAGAGAAGAGGTGGGCTTGTCGTAAAACATAATAATGTCAGTTTATGGTACTCGACGGAAGTGTGGTGGAGGTGGGTTTGCACAGGTATTATGGTCCATAAAACACAGAGATGGAAGACTCCATATAGGGAAACGAGGAAAGAAGAAGAGGAAAAATAAAAAGTGGAAGGAAAAGAATCCGCTATCAAGATTTTTTCATTCAATTCTCAACGAATATTTTATATTCGGAAATATGTAAATTTCTGAGAAAACCGTAATGCATTGTTTTTTTATGATGCCAAATTTGCATTTTTATGAACCTGAGCAGGTGAGGAAAGGAAGAATGGGAAAATGAATCGTGGAAGTTTTGTCGGCTAAAATTCCAAGTATGGGATCCTTATGAGTCTCCCATAAAAGCAAATGGGAAAGTGAACATCAAAAAACAATAAATGGGAAACCGATTCTTTTGTTTACTTCGAAAACTTTAAAGATAGGATTACTGTGAGACTTTAAGAAATTACACTACGGTGGTACTTAATCAACAACTATTTAAATAGTATTCTCAGTGGATTTGAAAATCAGAACGGGTATTTTTGAAGCTAACTTTTTTCTTTAGGTTTACAGTAATCCTATCTTTATCATTTTTATTTTAAAAATATCTATTCTAACTTTGAAATCCGTTCTAAATGTTAATTACATACCTGCTAATTAAGCATAACCGTACTGTAATTTTTCTCGGTAAATGAATCACCAATTAGCATATATTGCATATAGAAAACGTGTCGTATTTTGTTGATTGTTACCACACATCATATCTCATTTGATACCCTGTTTATTGTCAGTTGCCCCAGCATCATGAGTCATTGGAATGAAACATCTGATATTTTATTGCACGGTTTATGCTTCCTTCTCGGAACAGAAGCTTTTCAGAAACTTTGCGATTTCCCTCTTTCCAACCAACACCTTTTCTGTGATTTTCCGTATTTTTTGCCCTTTATTGCAAATCAAAAAAGCGCCGACACTCGCGATGTTTACCGATTGCTATTTCTCACCCTTTCTTTGTCCCCTGCGGTACCACCATACAACTATTGCGCCCAACTCACAACCCCGGGCCCCCAGCGCCTTCTCTCCACATCTGCATCGCGTGGTGATAGTTTTTGTGATATACAATTTCCTTTTTTTTTTGTAAGACTCTCTTGATTAACATGTAGTCCATGGAGGTGTCTAATACATTTTCAGTACATTTCACAGCGCGACAAATATATAGTTGAACCTTGAAAATTCTTGCCAGCTGTGTTCGTTTTTTGTTTCTTTTTCCCTCTTTTCTCTTTCGTGTTCCTTTCTTTTCTTCCTGTATACAGGCAGCACTACTCATTTTTGCAACACTTATAACATTTTTAATCAACTTTTCCAGGGTAATGTCTCTTCGGGATCATTTACGTCTTTATCACGGAAGCTGGATGCTTAAAACCGACGAGTTAAATGATTTATTCTACTCTCGTCCACCGGTCACATTCACTGTTTATCCCGAAGAAGAGGAAGTCACTGGAAGGCCAGGCATTTTGGAAGAATAGTGAGTTGATTTTTTTTCCAATTGCAGTGATCCATAAGACACTCTGGACCCCAGAAATAGAACATTTTCAGAACATTTTTATGAAACATTTTCCTGGAAAATCTTTTTCTCAAAAAAATACAGTTTTTGAATAACAGCAAAATTTTTGGTTAAAAATTAGATGAAGATGTATTCTATATACTATTCTATCATAATGTTTCCTTTTTGGAAAAAATACATTCGAAAGAAAACAATTTTTGAAAAAAAACTGCGTTATTTGAGCTCCAAAAATCTTTTTTTCATGTTAGTTAAAAATATAAACTACTGAACCCACCGTAAACGCTGTAGTAGAACGTCATGCAATACTTGCCTTCTGTGCTCAATTATCTCAATTTCTATAAGAGATAACAAAAATTTGGCAACTGATAAAACGTTTGTCATAATATCACCAACACATCATCAGTTGACACATTTTTCATAGCTTGTTTAAAAATCAAGATAATCAAGATCAAAGAGCAAGCACAAGGTTTTTACGGTATATGTAGTACTTATCTTAATTTGAGAAAATCCAGTTTTGAAAAATTATGTATCAATAACCGAAAATGTTGTATTTCAGCATATGGAACGTCAGAACTAAAGACCCAGAGACTGGCGAAATGATTCGTCTAACTGAATATTTCCGTGTAAAGTGAGAAAAATTTTTTTTCTGAATAATAATTGTTTTCTTCAGGTTTGGATACAAGATCAAGCACAATGATGAGTTTCCTATTTTTCTTGATGACAACACCTCAGTATTATACCCACCAGAAGTCCTCTACGTTCACGATATCGGACCACACGAGCATGAATTCCCAAATCCGTTCACTGTTGTCGTCTAATGAATCCAAATCACATCTCGTTTTGCCAAGGTACGGACAAGCATTCAATTTTTTTCCAGTTTTCTAAACTAATTTTTGTACTTTGTGGACTCATAATGAATGCTTTCAAAAAATCTGCTCCAACCAAAGTTATGGAGTTTTCCGATGCTTGTTACAAAATTACAATAACGGAAACTGACCCAACTCGGTACCTAGAATCTGTTCGGTAAGAAGAACTCGAAAGCTAAAAAAAATGCCAATAAACGTAATATCTTTCTAAATTTATTGAAAATTAATGTATTATAGTCTTATATATTCATGCATTAAAAAGCAACAACAATAGTAACTATAGATAAAAACCAATAAGATGAGCGAAGGGAGCTTAATGAGCCTGAGATACAGCAAAAGTAATGTGATAGCCTTGAAGGAGCACAAAGTTGACAAAACAAAATTGAGAAAACGAACAAGAACACGTTAGTATCAATTATATGCAAACAAAATTCGTTAAGAGTTTGGCAAAATGATTGAAGATTAACTAAGAAGTTCATTGATTTTTTCAATAGTGCGCTTTGGTGTACATGAGCAATATTCTTCCACTGATGCTATTAAATAAACTGTCCTTCTCATAATAATGTAGAATGCAAACATGTCATCTTTCTAAAAATTTAAAAGTTTAATTTTTTTGTGTGTTTTTTCTTACGGTTGAATAATTCACTATGTCTTGCTCAATGCTTCGCAGAAACATGCAAGTAACAATTCTCCAGTCACCAGTTCCTCTACCAGTGGAAAGTTGTAGTTCTGAATTAAAACGTTCCTTGATAATTTTGTGTTGTTGGTAAACTTACCATTTTATTGATTTGGTCACAACCTTTCTGAAGCATCATGTTGACGGCCCATATAAGCTGCATCTTCCTACTTCTCATGGTCCATGGCTCAAGACCTTGCACTTTCTTGTAATGAAACGATTTTCCGACAAATGGAGGTTTGTTGAGCTTCATGCGGTGATAATCGAGGAGGGCAAAGAATTTACTCGTCATCTTCAAACTGTAAATTCCAGAAATTTGCTTCAAACTTGCTGAATCAAAAATCTCACCCGTATCTTTTAATGGGACCAGTACCCAAATGGAAAATCTTGCACGGCTCAGTTCCTCCACTTCTCTTCTGAAAAAGAGCGTTGGAGTTGACGACCACTGTCACGTATGCATGAGTCTTCATGTAGACAGGAAAGATCAAAAATTTCCTCTCAAAAATATCACGACTTTCGATGTCGTTTTGAGCATATGTGGCGTCCCACCATTCTTCCATTTCCCATCTCAACTGAAATTCAAACAATAATTGTTCAAAACTGAAATTCGAAGTGTATTCTTACCTGTTCTCGACGTTTCTCGTGTATTTTACATGTATTCAACCCAAACATAATATAATTAGATTGGCTGAAAAATATATATGCTCAAAAAACGAATCTATAAAATTCTCTTACACTGAAGAATATGAGTAAGGCTGCAATTGCAAAAGTCCAAACCTGACATTTCCAACTTCGCATCTTGTTCTTTGTCATATTCCATTCCGAGAAATCGCACGTCGTTCAAAGTTACTGAGGACGAAATTTTTGTTAGTTTCAGTGTACCATTTTTTATTAGTTTGCTTTTTTTCTTCTTTTTTTCTATGAAGCGGGATGCGAAAATTAGCTTCTTAACCCGACGTGTTATCACTAAAGAAACTTTATTAAGCAAACCTCAAAACTAATCTACAATTTTTCCTATTTTTGTCGATTCTGACAAGTTATTTGTTTCAACATTCTTTGAGACTCTAATTTTAGACTCAAAAACTGGTTTCATGAAAATTTTCAGAACCGATTTTAGTCTTCATATAAAACCTGAAAATTAAAACAAGTATTCCAGATTCATTTAGATGAACGGAGCTTTTTATTCGAGTAACAGATCACTAATGTCAGCGTGAAAATCATAATAATGAGTATTATTTTCTTTTGTTTTTTTATATTTTGAAAAATGTGCGCAAAAGTAAAGTAAATCCCCCAAAAGTCAACTGGAAAACTTTTTTTATTCCTACTTTATTAATGTTGGGTATGAAAAACCAACAATTATGAAGCCTTCTGACAAGTTTCGCTTGTTAGAAGTATGTATAAAAACGTTCAGAATATTAACTTGCCTAGAACGTTCAGAATATTAACTTGCCATTAAAGTTACAGACAAAACAAAAATAATCGATTTCAGTAAAATTGAAAATTTATCGTTTGTAATATCAGGAAAACACTTACTGGAGGCAGATGTGGATTCCAAGGTGTTAGCAGTTTGCTTGAAAGTATGTTTGAAGACCTCAACTTCTGCAGCAAGTCTCAGGAAATCCCCATTCTAAAGTTATTTTCTATGATTTTATTTCAGATTTTCATTGAATATAAACAGCTTTCAAAAATGGTATTGAGTGATTCCTCAAGTTTTGTGAACTTGTTTTTCGTTAGTTCGATTCAGTACACTTCACTTACATAATTCCTGATTGCCCTTGAGAATGCGCTTTTATTCTTTTAGCAAGTAATTTCGTCGCGAATCAACGGATCGTATTTTTCGCCAAGTTTCTTCAATTTCTTTTTGACCTCACTCTTGATGGGAGTTCCGAGACATATCATGTTGACCATTATTATTGTTGATCAGCTGTAAACGTTGATTATAAGTTTACCAATATATTTGAGTTGTGTTGATTAGTTTGTTCGAGGAAAGTAGTGTGATTCAAAAAAAACCTTCTTAATTATCTAGTCTAAACTTTTCTAAGCGCAGTGAATACGAAGACACTTTTAGAGTAGACTTGGCGAATAGTGTGAAACAAGCTAGAAGCAGCTCGTTGATACAAACGAACAGAGAAGCCTCATCAACCCAAATATCCTTAGGGTCGGAAATCATGTACTCCATACTTGCGACGGCAAGTCCCTTCAATTTTTCCACAAAAAAGCTTTTTTTTGGATAAAAGTTGTTTTTATTATCTAATTTTAAGCAAAATTGTAAATACTGAATTTTTGAGCGGTTAAACAAAATTTTGAAACATTATTTTTTTCTGACTTTTCCAGAAGTTGGAATCGGAATAAAAATTACATTTTTGAAGTGAAAGAACGGTTTTTTTCTCAAAAACTATTTTTTTTTGTTAAAAAATTCTCAAGTTTTTTTTCGATAAGTTTCGACCAACAAAATTCCTATCAAGGCCTCCCGGGCCTTCCGGGCTTTCAGCGGTTTTCGCAAGTATGAGGAACTCAACAAAGGATAAAACCATGACTAGTCTGGGGAAAGCCGTGAGAATTACTCTAAAATAAGTGCTAAAGATGACTTGATTTGCTATATAGGAAAATAGCTCGACAAAAAAACAAGATGTGCTTCTAGCTAATCTGGCATTCGAAGACATACTTGAAGCTTCTGAAGCCACAAACATTCAACGGTCCAGGATGACGCAGACGTGTTGAATGATCGACGTAAAATTCGAGAACGTGAAGAACGATAAAAAGCGATTTGAATTATTATCAATTTTTAAAAATCTATCAGTAATCAACGTTGATGGGCCAGCCCAATCGCTCTTTTCGTTGGTTTCGAAGAATGCTGGTGTTTAACTTCTCCGGCTGATTGGCCCATAATAAGTATACAAGGTGAAAGAGCATCTTTCAAAACCTATGAAACCGTTTTCAATCTCTGCTTAACACTCCTACTCTCTTACGCCTCTAAAGTGTTCTGTACCAAAAAATCATTTTTTCTGTGTAAAATTGGCAATTTTCAAATTTGATTCTCTCCACTCCTAGGAGGTTTCAGAATTAGTTTTTTTTTTGGTTTCATACTCCCTATTATGTGGAATTTCCTATTTAACATTTTTTCTCAAAACGTTTCTCAAATTTGGAAAGTTGGAACCACCCAAAGTGTACTTTGAAACTTTCCAAAACTTTTCCAAATATGTGTTTTTGAGAACAATATAAATTAGGCAATTCTTCACAATTTTAAGTATAACATGAGAAAGTTCAAGTCCCGAAACCTCCAAGAAGGAAAAAAATCGGCAATTTGAAAAATGCAGATTTTGTACTGGAAAAAGTGATTTTTTGATACTGAAACAGAAATCTTAGCCTTTTGACTTACTAAACAGATTTTGAGAACGGGTTTATCAACCGGAAAACTTTGAAGGTTCCTTTATGAGCTATTGGGGATTGAATAAAAAAAATTCGGTGGCGAGAAAGGTAAAGATTTCGGTTCCGACTAAAACAACACATCAGCAAGTTTTTACAGTTCTACGATGTACTCGGCTGTTGTAATTTCTGATCAAATAGAGAATGTTTAAAAAAAACATCTAGGTCGTAATCTTACTATAAGTCAGAGTTATAAGTAAGATAAGTCAGATTTTTGACTTATCTTTAGACTAATTTTGGACTAATTGGTATAAATCGGGTCTAATTTAATTTTTGCTTAACTGTTGCCCTGAAAAACAATCTCCAGGGTGGCCTTTAAAATTATGTAACGGTTTCAAAAACCTCTAAATTATCTTGAAAAATGAATCGGTTTTTGTTCCAATGAATAAGAAAACTATGAACCAGATTACCATGAGCCATTTGACTCCACGTGAATAAACTCTATTTTTATCATACTCAATTACTCGAGGCGTTCCTGTCGGTGGGATGGTTTGTCCCAAGAATGGAGAGATGAGCGATAAAAGAAAGAGTCAGGATTGAAGAGGCAATGCCTCTAGACTTTCGGTTGTTCAAGTTGCTTCTTATGATTTCATAATTCGAAACCTTTTCGATAGTTCCAGAAATTATTATTTAGGATGAGATAAGCCAGTGAAGATAAGAAGATGGCTATCGAGACTATTATAGAAACTTACCTTCAGTAAACTGAAGAGTTGACGTGAGGAAGGTGTACTGTAGACCACTGCGATCAGATTTTAGGAATAAAAAAGACTGCGTCGAGGATACAAGATGGAGAAAATGCAGAATGACACCCGAGCAGACTGTTGGTCCGTTCGTGTGGAAGATAGGGAGAGAGAATGCCAGGCCCACGCTATAAGGCTGTATGAATGTTTTTAGGGAGGCGGAGTTTCCATCTGTCGAGGTGTGATGGTAAAAGATGTGGGCGTGAGCCATACGTCCAGTGGTAAAATGTGTGCTCTGGGGAAGAAGTAACTGTTGGGTACCAATTCAATACTCGTAGTAAGATAAAAGGCGGTATGTTTTAATTAAGCGTTCTCATGATGCACAGGAAACAATTTTTCTAAAATAGAGAAACTAGAATAGAAGATAAGTGATCACAAGGATCTACAACAGGGAAAAATATTTTACAAATAGTCCATAACGTTTTCATCTTTGAAATATTCGTCAGTTGTTCGAACTTCTATTAGGTTGGCAGGAAAGTAACTGTCCATTTATTTATTAGTAAATAACACAAACACAAGAGTAATCCAGAATAAGCAATATGCACCGTCGTGATCCACAACATGTTGGCAATGTTCAGGTAACTTGTGGGTACCATCCTTCCAAAAGCCAGCTAGTGGCAAGTCAAAGTATCCCTCCAGTCCATTTTTTCAGGCATCAATTGTGTTAAAGTCCTTAAGCTCCAGATGACGTCGTATACTTTCGAATAACCAATGATCTAATTAAGCTGAATCAAGTCTTTAACGGGGTTAAAGAAGAACCGTCCAGCCAAAGCGGCTCAGGTACGGCGTGACTTTCCGTGAACATGAGGTTTTTTCATTTTTTACCTGCAGTCAAGTCAGACCTGAGCAGCTTCAGCGGGACCGTTCTCCCTCACCTACTTATAGTCCCGACTGAGCTCTGTCAGATTATTGGATATTCGGAAAGATACAACCTCATCTAGAGAATACTAAAATTTGCACCAGTGCATACTGCTAATCTTGGATTAATCCTGCTTTTGTATTATTCACAAATAAAATAAGGGACAGTTACTTTCCTGCCAACCTAATAAAAGAACATTGAAACAGCGAATCATGTGTTGTAGCAAGCAAAAAAAAACGCACTAAGAAAAGGAATATTGAACGTCATCTGTACCGCAAATTTTGAATGTATATATGCAATTACATTTGGAAAAAGTTCAAAAAAAAGAGAAAAAGACAAACTCTCAAAAATGTATAGTCAGCCCGGCACAAAAATCCGATCCATGGAAGAGAAACGCGTGTGGCCGTGGCCGAATGTCCCACGACGAAAACGACCGTAATCTAAAAATATTTTTATTCTCTAAACTCTTTCTTTTCGATTTCCGTAGGTTGCAATCAGTTTTCACTTTTAAAAAATGTTATTCTCCTATTTTTTGAGAAAAACTAACAGAAATTAGAACGTGTAAAACTAAAAAATTAAAATGGAAAATAAAACTATTTTGTGATTGCAGTATTTGTCGCTGTGGAACCTTCGGCCGCGGCCACCGA